CTAGGCAACTGTGCTCCTTGGAACTATTTCATGCAACTCACAACCTCTTTTTCACCCATCTACCCTGCAAGCGATCAGTTGAGACCACTAATAAGAGGAGTCTGTTCCTTCACTGCAGCCTGCTGCTTGGGAAAGCATGAAGAGCATGAAAAAAACAAGGTGGGGGGCTTCGGGGAGACAGTGGGTGTCCTGCCCAGTTTTGCTTCTAGCCCCACCCATGGCTTGCTTCAGCTTCATCCATCAGCCTCTGACACTTCAGCCTTGTGGAACAGCTCCTTTCGACAGAAAAAAATGCCTCTAGAGCATCAGTGGCTCTCTTTTTGCCATCCATCACCAAATTTCCAGATCAATAGAAAAAGAACATTTGAAGTGCGATAAAAAAATTATTCATGTTGCTCTTTATCCAAAGCCTCAAAAAGGACAAGCCTAGACATAAATATTTACAATGTTTCTGTTGCTGTAGGCATAGCAGCTGGCTGCCATGATACTTGGATCTACAAATCAATATTTATGAGCCCCCAAATGCTTAGATTATACCTGGCTATTAGTCTGAATTGACTGGTTTATTGTTTTAACACTTGTTAGAGAAGTGATAAACATCTTTAAGCAACACTTTTGTAAAAGGTAACTTCATTATAGCGTTGGAAGGAGCTCTTGAAAAGATTGTGTGTGTTAGCACTGGCAGTTATTGGTTCTGGTTTAGAAACAGCCAGTGGTTAAGAAGAGAACCCCACAGATGGCAAAATGATAGTGGTGGAAATGCAAAATGGGAGAAGAAGAGAAAAAGCTTCCTTGGGAAAAAGATTTAGAGGTCAACAGTCACGGTTACTCAAGGAGCACTAATTGCTTGCAGTATTTCAGTTGAAAGTTGAAAGTGGCAACATTTTCATTTCAGATTGTTGATTATGCTGAAAATATGCAAAAAGAGTGGAAGGCAAATGGGATATTCTAGATATACTCAACAATTGGTTTTCTGCTTTCAAAAGGAACAGATTCTCCATATCTGATTTTCCAAGCCATTTGTTTTTTTTCCTAATAAAATGAAACTTTAGTGTATCCTTAATCAGTGTCACCTTCCTTTCAGATAAATACAATGCATCCAGAAAGAATTTAGAAAGCTTTAATGACCCCTGCCATTACTGCTCCAGTTTGGTGTACAAAGCATTCCAAAGGGACCTTGATTTTAACACACTTTCCCAAATGGACTTCACCATCTTTCAGAGAGCATCTCAATCTCTTTCTCCTTCTCCCCTCCCCAGTCCAGAGGGGGAGTAGGTGGTGTATACCAGGGGCTCTCAAAGTACGGCCCATGGTCCGGATATGGCCCGCCAAGGTCATTTATCTGGCCTGCCTGCCTGATTGGCCGCCGCCGCTGTCTGTCAGAAGCGGAAGC